CGCTAGTGGTTCATCTGTTTTCTCCCCTTCTTGCTCTCCTGGTCTCCTGCCTGGTGTTCCCCAGACAAACCCAGCTTCTCTGCAGCCCGAAGCCCTGTGAGAGGCCTTCTGCCCAGCCAGGTGCTGCTGCTGCTGGAGCAGCTCTGCCTTCACACCTTGAGGGACAGAACTGCCTCATCCCCTAAACTGTGTGCTTTTTGCCAGACTAGGACCAACGTAAATGAAACTCTCAGCCTAACCACCACACAAAAGCAATCCTTGCTCGCAGCTGCTGGATGAAGGCGCTATGGCTGTTGGGTACTGCTTGCACGAGCCATTGACAGCATCACTCAGCACAGGAAACCAGTCACAAACACAACCCATCTCCTTACGTGAGTCTGGGTATAAGTAACATTCAGTGGGACTGCAAAACTAAGATCTTAAAACGTGGCTGCGCACATTTAGTTTGACTTCCTTGCAGGCCTGCACTCTTCAGTTGCTTTCTCACATTTTTCTGAACTGGAAGAAACATTGCAAAAAAACCCAGTAACATGGCCAAGACTCGTGTTATTCCCCAGCAATGCTCTCAGACAGCTCTATCTAGCTGTACATTCTGAGCAAGCCCCACAGGAATCAGCAGCTCGGGGCCATCTCACCACACAGGACTGATGTGAAGTGAACCTACAGGCAGAAAGCAGCAACCACGCATGGACACCTTAACCACAAATAGCACTGGGTTATACTCTGCATAATTCTGGATTTCTCCACAGCTTCCTACAGCACTTGAAATCGTACATTAAGAAGAGCAAGAGTCCTGCAGGTTTCCTCGTGGCCGCAGGGAGAGCAGAGGCTGAGGGCCCGAGGTGCTGCAGCCAACAAGCAGTGAGGCTTGCAGAAAGCCTACCGACAGAGCTGCACATTCTTGGGTGCCACCTACTGGCATCTGGACTGAATAATGCCAGTTTACACACGTATCTCCACGTTTTTTCCCTTTTAGTCTTTAAAAGCTTAAAGTTTGTGGTGCAGTAACAACTGGAGTTGTGCAGTCTGGAAGATTCAGGGACCTGAAGTGTCTCCAAGTAGTTGGAGATGTTGCAAATTCTCCTCTGCAGCATTTCTGAATCTTCCCATCTACCTTTAGAATCTTGGAATGCTGTGGGTTCTGTAAGTGGAGGTAAAGGGAATGTCCTCCCCACAGGAAGCAAAACCCAGCATAATGTGGGGCACACAGGACTCACAGCATCAGCAACCAGACAAAAAGGGGCTGCCAGCCCTTTTCTTCCAGCTGGCTGTGCGTGTTGGAGCCTGAATCTCCATGCTCAGGGCCTTCCAGCTGCTGCACAAGTCAGTGCATACCATGTGGGAGGTGCTCAGAGGATGTGAAAGGTTTGCACTGAGTCCAGATGCAAGACAGTTCATCGTTCACGAGGCAGGATTCAGTCTGCTTAAGTGTGAAAGGGAGCATGTGTGAAATTGCCACTGCCTGAGCATCACATGTAAACCCCATTGCATTTAGTGCAGGCAACCCAGAACAGCAGCAACATAAGCCTGCACACATCTGTACAATGGACCTATGGCCCTTTGCCCCGAGGATGGAGGCGGTTTGGACAGTATGACCTACAAGCTCTGAGGAGGGCTGTTTCTTCAAGGAGGAGTAAAAGACATGAAGGCAAGCAAGCAATCTTACTTTTTCTATACCGTATGAAGGCAAAGTCAGAAATTTAGTGCTACACAAACTACTGTGCTTCAGTGCCCTTTACAGCAGTGACTGTTTCCAACACAGGCTCGGTAAAAGTCATTCTTTCTCCTGATGACCTCAACTGCATACAGAATTTGCTGAACTAGAAAAAGCTGTGTTGCAAGTGCTGGGAAAGACACGAACTCTCACAGAGGGAGGCTAGCTATGAATGCTACTGGCATGCGCTCGAAGGAAAATGTTGTGCTGCTTTCCCTTACCCATATACACTGATGCAAACCTGAGCAATATGAGCCACGCCATGACTGACTGCCAAGTGTCCATCACAAAGTCATCACAAACGTGTTTAAATAGGGCTGGGCTGGGACATCAAGACGAAGCTTGGTGAAGGGCAGCAGGGTCAGACAGCCTCAGGACAGGAATGTGCATCACTGTCCTTAGGGCCCGGGCAATTGCCTGTTGTATTACAACTCAGTTTCATCCTCTTGTCATATCAACAACAATGTTTTGCAACGTTCTACAATTGTTTTATAACAGTTAATTTTGGATACATTTGAGAGGGTTTTTGTAATAAGTAGAGGTAGAAAAAAACAGTATTCTTCCGAAAGGTACCGTGATTAGATTGCTGGAAATTACCTGCTGCATATATCAGGTGCCATAGTTCTGTTTCTATTTCTAGGGTCTGCCTGCATGCAGCTAGGAAAGAAAACCTTCCTACTTGCAGGTTGTTCATTTTTCTTCATTACTGGCCCAAAGCCTGGGGGATGAGAGAACTGGATCATTTTGCCCTTCAAAGACACTTTTCCAGCCAACATGTACATGCTGCTGTTCCCAGGCTCAACATACAGGCTGCAATTACATGCCAGTGATGTTGAAAATGCAGTATTAGGAAAGTCCCTATATAAAGACTTACAAAAATGGAAAGTGAAAGCTCTGGGCTGTCCCTTGGGTGTCCACTGGGAAAGCATGCTCAGCACCATGCCTAGTATCTAAGGGGCTGCTAGCAGGCCCTAAGAGAATGATCCCTTGTGGTCAGCATCAGCAGCATGTTACCTTGAGCTGTCAAGGCAGTTATCTGGGAAAACAGCCAGCTGGTAGCGTCCAGAGTCAGCCAGCCTTTGTGGGTATGACATAAGAGAACATTTCCCATTAAATGTACATACACAGATACATATGGGAGCATTAGAAATTGTGTGGTGACATTAACAAGAATGACAAATTGGGCCTGTTTAAACTCTAAAGCAAGACTGGTCCTCCCTAGCAGCACATACTACGTACCTCCTCCTCCCCCCCATCCGCAAATAATGCTGCACCACATCACACTCACAGCAGCTTGTCCTTGGCAGTCACATCCTGCCCCAGCTGCAATTGCAGGCAGCAGGGTTGATGCTGGCAGTCCGGACTGCTGGCCACAAGGCTTGCTGGTCCTGTGGAAAGAGAGGAAGCTCTCTCAGGGGGTAAGCATGGAGTCAGGAGTTTCATCCTCTCCAACACCTCTGTACCTTCTACTTTCAGCAGATGTGTGAGTTTCCAGACCAACCCCCACTCTTGCCTTCCACCCCTACAGTATATGCTGCACGGTGCTTGCAGGGCAGAGGGGGTTACTTTTACGGGACACAGAAGTGCTTGTCTCGTCTCTTCCCTTGCTAGACTGTTGACTGTCTGCTGGTCTCCAAGGCTTCCACTTCAGCCTGTGCCATATCTTTGATGGGTTTTGCAGTTATCCCATTTTAAAATCACAGCTAAAGGTGCCAGCTACTGAGGTCTGCTTTGCACAGCATACCCCTGCAGTGGAAGACCAGCCTTACAGCAATTCAACCAAAAGCTGTAAGCAATAACAACAGAGTATTTGAAAACAAAATTTTCCTTCTCCTAAACAGATCTGCTTAGAAGAGGAAAAGACAAAACAAAGTTACCTCACAGTGCGCAGTGCTCTGAAAAATTAGTTGTTAAGTGAAAATGGCTCGCTCTTCCATTTGCAAGTATTTGAACAAGAAATCAAAACACAATAACCAGTATGTCCAGCTTTCTAGCATGATCCAGAAGGGTACCAGGACATCACTGACAATTTCCCTAAATAATGCTGATTTGCTTTCTGAAATACATTCTTGTACAGAGAGAATTTTTTACCTCTCATGTTGAACTTTAAGCTCCCTTGCATTTTTGTCTTCATGATGCATAGAAAAATCTTTAACCTCTGTCCATCAGAGCAGAAGATAAAACCATCTGGTAAAGAAATTCAGCTCAGAATCTTTACTTTTGGTGAAATTATCATATTCAGAAGTACTAATTGATGAGAAAAGCCATGTTCAATTAAACATTCTGATTTCAGGCAATCCCTCATACAACTGCATATTAGTCTCGAAAATGTTCAATGCTTGCTTTATCTCTCCAGGGTAGAAGAAGTTAATTCTAAAATTCAAATACATCCCTGCAAGAAGATTAGAGTAAGAAGAGGAAAAACTCCTCTATAGCTAATCAGGGAACAGGCAGCTGTTCTGCACTGGGAGGTGCCAGTTCCTTATAGACCCAGTCAGAGACATGCTCAGACTCTGCAAAATACCACTTAAAATACTTATTTCTGGAGCTAAAGAGAGAGGATGGTGTAGATGGTTTTAACACCCTTTAGATGCCAGCACCTGCAAGCCGTGCGCCATCAAGCAGCTTCCACCCAGCAAGCCCCATCCTCGGAAAGGATCGTCCGTTTTCACCACTTGAGCCGTGACAGCTCTCTTCTCCTCTAAAACGTCCTGCACAGGAGAGGCCAAGTCCTCCGCGTCCTCCGAGCCCGCCACTGCTCAGGACGGTGCCTCGTGCACACATCTGGCCGTGCCTCGACAGGATTCGGCAGGCAGCCCGGGCGGGAGGAGCCCGCCGTGCCCACAGGCGCCCTCTTCTCGGCCGTTCGAGTCTCGGTCGCTCCTCGGCGATGCTCAGCAGTGCCCGATCCGCCCCTCGCTGCTCCCCGGGCTCCTGTCTCACTCGGCCGACTTCTCGGCTCGTAACATCGCAGTCGGAAGGCGGGCCGATCCCCAGCCCGGCTAGCCCGGCGGCGCCCAAACGCACAGCCGTGTACGAGCGCCGCCCCAGCGCTCCTCGAGCTCTAGCATCACGCTGCCCGCGGAGCTGCGCGGTCCAGGCACGGCCCTTCCCTCGGTCCCCCGGCCCTCCCCCGCCGCAGCCCGTGCCGCTCCTTCGGCCGCCGCCCCGCTCTCAGGACGAAGCGGCGAAGCCCGCCCCGCCGCCATCCCAGCCCGACCGCCCAACCCGCGCCCGGAGGAGGCGGAGGGGCGGGACCGGAGACACGTGCTGCGGGGGGCGGGCCGATCGCCGCCACTTCCGGCTCGGCGTGTCCCGGTGCGGCCAGCAGTGAGTATGAGAGCGGCGCCGCCCTGCCCCCTCCCGCCGCCTCCCCCGGCCCGGCCGCGCTTCCTCCCGGCCCACCACCGGCCGCTCTCGGCTCCCCGCTGCTCCCCGGGGCCGCTTTCCGGCGGCTCCTGTGCCGCTGGGTCCGGCTCGTTGGCCGGGTGCCTCCCTTCCGCCGCGGCGCTCCCGGCCCGGACCTCGCGTTTCCCCCGGCGCGGGACGGGCCGGCTCACGCGGCGCTGCCTTTGCGCTGTGCCCGGGCTGAGCAGAGCCCCCTGCCCTGTCCCTACTCGAGGCCCGTCCCCGGCTGAGGACGTCGCAGTGAGCGGAGGGAAAAGCCTTCCCAAGGGCCGGCATAAGCTCTGCGTTTTGTTGTACTCAGTTGTTGCTTTTTTTTCCTGATGGTCTCTGGAAGGTGTAGGTCTCCGCTAGGAGAAGCCTTTTCCAATGTTCTGGTTTTTCCTTTGGATTCGTTTGCAGCATGTATAAAAAAGTGACAGGAAATAAACGTTTTCTCAAACACAAGTCGACATTTAAAAAAAAAAAGAGTTTTGTATCAGCATAGAGCAGTGCTGGTCACTCTCATGAGAAACTAGCAGCCAAACTTAGCTGGAAATAGCAGTAAGTGTAAAGGTGAGGGAGCTTTGCGATGAGTGCTCTGTCTTTTGCGTCCTGTTTGTAACCGAGGCAGTAAGTGCTGTGGGCCCTTTTCAGGGCTCATTTCCTGAAAAGCTGTGGGCAAGGAGTTCAGGAAGCTGTTCCGAAGCGTTTTACCACCCAGGGCACTTCTGCTCTGCTTTCAGCGTGCCGCGCAGGAGCTGCTCTGCTGTCTGAGGCAGCACCTCTCACCCCAGGCGCCCAGAGAGAGCTGTTGCTTCCTGCTTTGAGCACAGCTGGGTTATCCCTGGTGCCCAGACGAGAGCTGTGTTAAGTATAGTACGGGAACACGGTGCAGGTGAAGAAAAGAGCTGACTCCCAACACTGAGCTCTGATAATGACCGTATTGTTGTGGTGTTTATTTGGGATTTGCCTGCCTTCATAGGGCACGCGAGAACACAGATGTGATCTTCATTTTGGTGTTGTGCTTTGTAAAAGCTGATGCTTTCGATGGCTTCTGTCAATGACAAGGAGGTGTGCTACTTCTGAGGGAGGGCCCAGAAACACCTAGCAGGTGAAATGAAGGATTTCACTTTGCTGTGCATCTAGGTGTAAATCCTTTATCAATTTTGTGCTGGCTGTACAGATGCTGTGCCTTCATAGTCTGAAGTACTGGCCAGTTTGGATGTTACAAATGTGACTAAATAGAAAACTGGAAAAGAAAAATGTTTTGCACAAATCTTTACAGACTACTGATGCTGCCTTGCTGATATCTTAACCTCTGTTCTGGTGGTGACTTGTGACTTTAGCAAGTCTTTGGTGTTTTCTTCAAAATATTTTTCTTCTCCGTTTTTTGTAGTTGTCCCAGTCTGTATGAGAGATACTGATTATAAGCATTTTGTTTTTCCTGTACTCATTAAGACACCAAAGAATATATTTGTTGCTGTATTTTGAGTACAGCCTTTGTCATAAAATATTATACTGTATGTTACTGCACAGGCCAAGCAGAAAGCAAGAGAAATTGAAATGCTGGGATTCGGCTGATGGTTTGTGATGGGAATACTGCACTTATTTGAAAAGTAATTTTTGCAGCTGTAGAGGATGAAGTAATCTCTTCCTTTTCTTTATATTTTTTTCTTTGTTTGTTTTCAAAAAAGACTCAGTATGTGAAGTTAAGCACCAGGTGAATTGGAAATGGCAAGAGGAGGAGAGAAGGAGGCTGTTGTCCTGTGAGCTCTGTGAGTGTGCAGGAGTTGATGTAAGAGAGCAGAAGTAGTTAAGGAGACAGAAGGAGGAGATGGTGGGAAGAAACACAGCAGATGAAGCAGGAGGAACATGGGAAAGACTGGCCTGGGGATGTTACTGGCTCTTAATTGAAGCATCTTCTGTGTTCACGTAAAATCTGAGCATTCCAAACTGATTTGAAGTTTTGACTGAGAGGTAGCTTCCCACATGCAACTTTGTCACTGCTCTGATTGACTAGCTGGTGCTCCTTCTCTCTTTTTGCCTGCAAGTCGCCATAAACATCTCTTCTCTGACTGCAGCTGTACAGCTGCCAATGTTTGCTTTTTTACCAAGTAAGGGTGTTTTATTTGACTGAACCAAACAAAAAGTGCTGGCAAGCAGTCCTTGCAAATCTCCTGAGAAGATGCCATCCTCATGCAGTTTCTAGATATAGCCACCTGGAGTTTTGTTCAAGGATGGTTAAGAGAAACTCAGATTGCTGTGGTTTGGGTTTTGGCTCATTTTTCTTTTTTACATTATTAGCCCTTTACTTGAAGTTTCTTCTTAAGGCCTACCAAAGAGGCAGTCAGATGCTTTTGAGGAAATACGTGCAGTATTAGGTAGCAGTAGGATTCCAGTTGATGAAGGAGTGGAGTGTTCACATGACCCAGTGATTTAACTTGTTTTGTGGTTTATTTTTGTCTCCGTCTTGCTCTGTTTGCATTGCCCATTACCTATTCTATGCAGGTGTTTGCCTAAGTCTGTGTTATGTTCCTGCTGTAGCAAAAAGATTTTTACTGTTGTTTGTTGTCTAAATGTTAGTAAGAAATTGCTGTACTTTGTCAATGTGAACAACAGCAAATCTTTCTGTTGAGCTTCTTTTCTCGTTCTTGGAGGCAGTGTGTTTGTTTGCTTTGGTTGTGCTTGACACATATTTCTCATGCTGAGGAAGTGTAGGCAGCTGCTGCCAGAATTCTGCGGCAGTGAATGGCAGAAATTGGTATCTTCACATTATTTTGTGATGCTGATGTTTGATGTTTCTCATTTCTCAGTGTCCCGACATATGCTGGGCAAGACAAAGAACCTCTCATAGTTCCATACCATCAAGGAGAGGAGGACGAGCCATCGACTCTCCTGAGACTCAGTAGACTTGGGAGTTTAGATCACAGTAAGTGTAGTGCAGTGCTGCCTCCTTTTATCCCCATCTTCACCACGGTGTGTCTATAAGTAAGCTACGTGGATCTTCTTTGTCACTTCAGATCCAGCAGTCTTGTTTCGATGCATGTTTTCAGCTATGACGTGGGTTCTAACGTGGTATGACCTTGTACAGTGGCTGACAGGAACAAAGGAAAGAGTGAATTAAGTTGTGTTTTCTGGTATCACTAAAATTTTTACATGCTTCAGGTGGATTCCTTGATTTCCTACTTTGCTGAAAGTTTTTCCTCACTTCCCATAACTGTTGTCTAATATTATAATTTGCCTGATTAGTTCCAGCTCTGCTTTCATTCTCATACTGTGGACTGGAGCAGGTTAAGATCTATGTGGAAGGGTGATCCCACTTAAAAATGAGAGAGTAGGGTTCTGATGCTCTTTGGATATGATCAGAGTGAGTGATTGTGAAAGTGACTTCACCAGCTGTGCAGGTGAGATTGAAAAATGTATGCTGTCTATCCTGGGAGGTGTTAAAGGCCTGGGTGCACGGGGCCCTGGGCAGCCTGGACTAGTGGATGCCCACGGCTGAAGGGAGGCTGAAGGTATATGGTCTTTAAGGTCTCTCAGAGCCCAAGCCATTCTATGATAGGCATTACATTTTCCTGCTTTGGAGTCGTGTCTTACATGTTTCTGCCTTTTTCTGTGTGTGTGTTGGCAGGGAGGGGGGCAGGGGAAGTTTTCCTCTGACTTTGAGTTTGACTTCTGATGTAGCAGGAATGCAGGTGAGGACAAATTTATCGTGATCAAGGTGGAACTCTGGTGGGATGCTCACAGAAAGCTGCCTTAGAGCTTGTGGGTTCTTTGAATACCATAATCATACAAATTACTTATGCCTAGGACTCCCAAGTATAAGTATTTATACTTGTGTATAGGGTACCGTGTCACTTTCATAACCATAAAACAGATGTCTGGCAGTTTTTCATTCCCAGAAAACATGATGGCTTCTGTAGGACTAACTGTATTGCAGAAATATATAGACTGTTTAGAGAAAGTATCTTCTTTCCTCTTCTCCATGCATGATATGTGCATGTAAATTAAATTATGCAGTCCCTGAAGTAGGCAGAGTAACTTCAGGATACCTCTGAATTTTATGTGTGGCTAGTGGGTATATAGTGAACTCCAGAAATAGCTTTGACTTGGTCAGCATCACAGAATAGATGATGCTGGAAGGAAATTCTAGAGGTGATCTACTCCAACTGCACTGAGTCAAAGCAACGACACTGGGTGCAGTTTGTTCAGAGTCCCATTAAATTTTGAATTTAATTAAATGTAGAGCCGTCACAACCTTTGCAGGCAATGCAGTAAGAAGGTTTTTTCTTATCTGCAAGAGAAATCTGTATTTTATTTTGTGCCTGTTGGTTCTTGTCATGTTGTTGGACACTACTTGGAAGAGCCTGGGTCCATTTTCTTTAGTCCTCCATCAGGTTCTTAGGTACACCAGCAGAACACCCTGAGCCTTCCACACTGAACTGTCCCAGCTGTCACTGCCTCTCCTGTGACGGATGCTCCCGTCCCTTAATTGTCTTAATCACTGCTCTCACTCAAATCCATCCATGTTGGCCTGCTGTGGGAGAGCCCAGAGCCGTACGCAGCGCTGCGGGTGTGAAGAGAACGAGTGGTGGAATATTCTGAGATGGAAGGGACCCACGAGGGTCATCAAGTGCCCAGCTCCTCAGAGAACAACCCACAAACCACACTACACGTCTGAGAGCATTGTCACTTCCCTGGACCTTCTGTCGATATTCTTCAAGAGCCCAGCATACTGTTTTTTTGTAAAAGTATTTTGGCGTGTTGCAGACTTGTTCCACTCTGCGGTCCTTTTTTGCAAACTTGCTTTTCCAGGCAGTTGGCTCCCAAGCTCTCTCTCTTCCCAGTTGCATTGGCCATTGTATTTATCTTCATTCAGGAACCTCTCTGCCCATTTATCCAGTCCACTTAGATGCACCTGAATGACAGTGTGACCATCTGGTATATAAATCACTCCTCCAAATTTTGCATCGTCTGCAGGCTTGCTGAGAGTGCTCTCTGTCCCATCATCCAGTTCTGACTGCATCTTTGTTTAAGAAGCAGCATTGCTGCCTTCAAGAAAAGAGACATTTTAGGCTTTAATCCTAGGTCGGCCAAAAAAGCCATTAAAAGTCGTAGATAACTACTGCTGAACTGGTAGGAGTGTAGAGATCTGGCTCATGAGGAGCTGGGCAGACACTGCTTGCAGTTGTACCTTCCTCATGTTGAAGTGCTTTTTTGAGGCACCGTAACTCAGTTTGTGTTCTGACAGAACCATCTGACTTGTTGGTTTGTATGAAGGCCACGAATTTGAATGCTTACCTTTATTACACTTTTTTTTTACTGCCTTCTGACCTGAGCTCTGTTTTGGGGTATTTCTGTACCATGCTGTGAGTAATTCTTCTCCTGGGATTAAATGGTGAACTGACAGATCAAGTGACTTTGCAGCCCAGGTTTGCTCCAACATACTTTTGTAAAATATTGCTGCTGCTTGCCAGTTCCTTGAGAGAATATATGTACATAAGGCATTTCTCAGTAACATGATTTGCAAAATGTGCAGCACTGATACTGATTGGAGGAATAATCAAAACATGGATCTGAAACTCACTTGGCTCCTGAGCCACACAGAAACCTTGGTTTTGAATCCAGGCTGGAGAGAAGCTTTGGAATATGAGATCTTCCACAGCAGTGAGAAGTCAGAGTGGTTTAGGTTAAAGTAATAGGTAACATGAAGCAAAATGCACCCTTACTTATGTTCTGCTGTCTCTTTTTACAACATTGTCTTTTGTTGTTGTAAACTCTTCTCTGTGTTGCCTGCCTAATGCAGAGCACAACTACTAATCCTAGCAATTGCAGAAAGACCAAAGTGTTATTTGAAAGATATTTTCAGGCATATGTTCATGAGCATACTGATACAATCTTTCGTGTTTCTTACAGACAGTTTGGTTTCCAGAATGTTTTATGAAGACACGGAGGAGAGTGATGTATATGAAGATGAACTTTACCGAGAGGATTCATCCTCGGAGCCAAGCATTGACAGCGAGGTGGAATTTCATCTCTACAGCCAGGTCCACTATTCCCAAAACCTTGCTGAAATCAGCTCACTGGAGGTGTCTGAAGAAGCAGAAGATGTTGCGGAATTCACAGACCAGGGTCCAGGTCTAACTGTGGCACCGCTTGAAGACCAGAATATTGTTGAACTGCACGATTCTGATGGCGAGATTTCGGACGACCCTGAGATCATTGTCTTGTCCGATACACCAGAGGAAGACAGTGTTTACAAAAGCAAGGCACGAAAATCAACAAGCCCTTTAGCTGAAGGTAGAATGCATACCTGTGGATCTTCCATAGCAAATCGTGCCAAAGCCACCGAGCGTAATGCTCTGCATACTGCAGGATCAGGCGCAGAAGTTTCAAGGCAAGGTCCTAGTGGGAATTTTCCCTCCGCTGGTTCTGGACCTCTCACCGCCCAAGAGGTGATGGTAATAGATGATAGCTCAAATGATGAGGAGGAGAGCGTGCTATCCGAAAGCGATAATGTTGAGAGCTGGATGCTTTTGGGATGCAGTGCAGATGACAAAGACAAAGACATAATGTTGAACCTTGAAGGCTGTGGAACTCCCGTTGGGGAAGGTTAGTACTTTATTTCTCACTTGTTTATTCTTCTGTACCTGAATTGATTTGTCTGCAGCAATACTGGTATTTTAAAAAGGTGTTGTAAAATGCACTGATGTTTTTGAAGGATTAACAGAAATCAAATGGGAGTGTGCAATGATGGACACAAACGATGGAAATAGCCTTATATAACATTGTTATATATGTAAGCATGTACTTTTAAGGAGCTGTGAAAACAACATTTTTGCTGGTAGAAATTCAGAAGCCATGTCAGAATGATGCATGCTGTGAACTTTCAAACGTTCCTGCATATTTCATAGTTGTGAATGACAAGTATGGTGTGAGATAAAAAGAGAATACAGTGGTTTATTATTGTAAATGAAGCAAGTAGGGAAAAGTCATTTTGAGGATGGAAGATACAAAATCTGTGGCAGGAATGGCATAACAATAAAAAGCTTACTGAAAATACTGCAGGGCAGGAATATAAATAGTCCTTATAATCTAGGAAGCGGTGTCTTTTCTCTTCCTGTGTGTTGAGATTTTGCCCATCTGACCTGTCTCCTTTGCCTCATTGCCTTAAGCTGTGGAGACACAAATGCCTTTCAGGGCTTTGGTGTATGCCAGATCAAAGATATTTCAACTGTAGAAGTGGATTAACTGAAACAGGATATGGGAAGGAACAGAGGGGAGACCGGTGCTGAGTCCTCTTCCCAAGAACCAGATTATGTAAACTCTCCTTCCAGGGTCTGGTGCAGCTGGGACTGTTTCTCTGAAATTTAATGCAACTTCTTCTGTGTTTTCTGCAGTGAGTAATTCAGAGTCACTAAGATTAATACCAAGTGTTTTAATATTTAGTAAAATGTTCTTCCAGGGTACTGTACAAACAGGAGGGGAATCAAGTTTTGGAAAGGGTAGATAACAGCAGGAGGAGGGGAAATAGCTTGAGGTTGAGGCAGGGCAGATGGAGGTTGGATGTCAGGGGGAAGTTGTGTGCTGTGAGAGTGGTGAGGTGCTGGAACAGCTGCCCAGAGAGGCTGTGATGCCACGTCCATCCCTGGAGGTGTTGGAGGCCAGGTTGGATGGGGCCCTGGGCAGCCTGGGCTGCTGTGAAATGGGGAGGTTGGTGGCCCTGCGTGTGGTGGGGGGTTGGAGCTTGATGATCCTTGGAATGCAGGGAAATGGAATGTTCTATAGTAGGGTGTGCAGGTCGTTACTGTTTGTATGCTGGCACTAAACTTGTTGAGAAAACCAAGCACTTCTTTTCTTCTAAAGCATCTCTTCCTTGCCTGTAAATGTTCACTGCCGCTTTTCTTCTCCACTTCTCTCATGTACGTCTTTGCGTATTATCCTGGTGTGCTGCTAGCTGCACTGTGTTGTGTGTTCAGCTCAGGTGATTGTTCAGTGACTTCAGGAGGTTGCCCGAACTTCAGAGGTGGGGGAAATGCCTTCCATATTCCCAGTGCGATGCTGGAAGAATGGCAGAGCATGCAGTTAGTGTGAGACACATTATATTCTGAATGTATGTCACTTTTTCTCCCCATAAAACATTTTAATTATTCTAAACTGCAGTTGCTAATAGTTATCTTGAAGTTGCTAAATTCCATTCGTCATCTTATATTTTTGTGTTCTGCTTTTTTGTTCAAGACCAGAGTGAGTTAGTTTGTGGGATTTATTTTTTTTCATTACCTGTTGGAAAGCAAATGTTTGGGGCCAAATGTTGACTTCTTTGGCAGCAGTGCTATTTTGTATATAGTATTATGATTTCTGGTATTTTTGTATTTTTTTTCTCATAACTAACGGGCAGGCAGATGGCCTGGAGTTGCATTTCTTTTATTCAGTTTACTCCATATATTTCCTTGGCTTCTGTTCTAAAACTGCTGATGCTAGCAGTAAAGTTTCTCCCCCTCAAAAAACAGAAGACAGAAAAGTGTGTAAACAGCATTTGAGACAGTAAGCAAATGTCATCGTTACATACGTTTGGGCAACAGAATGGAATTAATTAATCAGAATGACTATGCTTATTAGGAGAGATGAAAATGAAAATTTATTGCTTCATTCTTTGTACTATTCTAACAACAGTGTGCTGAGGGAGATTCCTAAAGGTTCTTATGCAAGGTTAACATCAGCAGAAGGGTTGTGTGGTATGTTTACTAACAAATGTAATGTTATGTTTGATGATCATGTTCTTAGATACTGGCAATAAGCAAGCCACATTCTAAGAAGATAATGGTAGAATTTTCCTTTGCTGTATAAACTTGTCATAATCTTCACACCTAGAAATGTTTTATTTAATGTACGAGATGTGCATATTTTTCTGAGGTGCCTGAATTTGAAGCCGCAGTCTCACAAGCAGCTCACAAATGTAACTGTTCTGATTTTTTTTCTCACTCCTACTTCTGGCTTCTTGAGAATTCCCCCTTGTGCCTAGCCTCACCCCAGTGATGCATTACAGAACCCTTGTGCTTGGAGAGCTGAGACATACAGAACAGGTGGGGTTTGGTTATACACACAGCTTTGATTCCATTTAAGCTTTTTGCATTCTGCATCTGTAGTACTTTGCAGAACATCTTAACACTTGCACGCTTCTCTCAGCACTGCTTTCCAGTGCACGTAGCGGTGATGACGCAGGGACGGAGGTTTACAGCAACTGTGTGTTCTGTATATGTGTGTAAGCCAAAAAGGGATCGAAATAGCTCTAGGAAATAGGAGCCGTAACTCTTCTTAGTGTGAAGTAACAATAATTTGTATGTTGAGCTTCAGAGTGCCTTATCTCCCACGTTCTAAAGGACTCCTTCGTTGAAACTTGAAAGACTTAAATCTAAGGAAAGAAGGGATTTTAAAAAATGATATTTGTGTTAGCAAATTTATCCTCTCAAAGATAATCTTTGCACAGCCCTCTGTTCTGAGTTTCTCAAGAAAATCAAGTCTACACTGACTGCACAGTGTACAAATCACTGTTTGAGCCTGCTGTGCCAGTATGGACAGGGCGTGGACCACAGCAGCTCCCCAGGAGAGTGTTTGAGTGAGTCCATGGACCTCCAGCAGCAGGGTGATGGCGTGTGCAGTGCTCTGTTTGCCTCCCGTGGAAACAGGGACTGAAACGTGAGCAGTTCCTTCATTGTAGGAGCAGCCTCTTGTATCCATCACTGCAGGAGTCTGCTGTCTTGTCTGAGTGCCTGAAATAGAGGTGCTGAGGCTCTGCTCTACTCCTTACATGCTTGCCTTACTGTAGTCTAGCAGCCTTGTCATTTTCAATATTCTTAATCAACAAATAACATAATTTCTCGATCCCTGCAGTGCTCAGAGAGATCTGCTCCCTGTGTGGCCTTCTAGCTTCAGTCGCTTTCTGCTGTCACAGGGAGAGACAGCCTTTCTCTGGCAAAATGAGCTCTGGTTTCTGAATTGTACTGGACATTCGCCCTGTCTGTCTTCATTTAATAGTTTGAAAGCTTTTGGTCCTCAAGCAGTGCTCTTGAACGGAGATGAAAGCTTTTTCTCCCCTTTCTGTTCTCTTCCTTTTTGAGAGGTTTTATATGCCTCTCACTTGTTATTGCTTGCCTACCACTGCATTTATCCCCCTATTTCTGTGAAATGCAACTTTCTGTCGTACATTAGTCGTTTCTGAGCAGATGTGGCCACATCTGCCAACCTTTAATTACTTGAGGTGTGAAGATGAGTGCTAGCTTTTTTCTTCTGTGTACAGAGAAATACTGGGGAGTAGGGGAAAGTCCTCAGTGGGGCTGCAGGGGTTTTTACCCACCATACTTGGACCTCACTTTCCTGTGGTGAGATAACACCCAGCTTGGGAGTGAATGAGGCGAGTAAACAACCACACCAGGCCAAATCTGAAGGCAGCAACCAACAGCTGATGGCATTACTTGCACTCTGCTGCTCATCGTACGGCTTCCCTGCGTGGCATTTACAGCACTGTGCTCTGCTGCTGCCATCTGCTTTGCAAAAAGCATCCTAACCTAATCCTATGCATAATCCTTGGGCATTGTAAGAGCGGGAAGATCCAGATCTTGAGTATGATTTCCCTGAATTTTTAAATGATTAGAATTCATGGGAAAGTGTACAATTTCTGCTGTTTACTAAATGTGTAGAATTCATTTATAGTGCTGGGAAGTTCCTGGGTCTGTGAAGGAGAGCTCTCCCCTCCTACACCTTTCTCCACCTTGCAGTAAGAGTATATGCGGTAAGAATGTTAATCTCCCACAGCTGGAAGACTTTCATCCATTCCTTCATTAAAAGCTTTCTTTTAACATTTTTCCTCTCCCTTTTGTCACTGAATTTTTGTCCCGGCGGCTTTTGGAAAGACAGCTGTTGAAGCTGCAGCATCAGTGTCCAGCTGCTATGGAGTACAGAAAACAAGCTGCCTCCCTGTTCCTTGTCCGTTGCCTCCCCCCTTGCAGCACCTTTTGGAGCCGAGGGGCTAATTCTGTCATTCTCTGTGTCTGGCAAGTTTGTGCAGTGCAGTTTGTCCGATTGGTTTCCAATCCAGTGTTTCTATAAAGCTGAGAACAGAAGGTACAAGAGTCAGCTGAAGTTCGTAGCTTGTTACAAGACGCTGCTCAGATGTGTTTGTCAGGTGGTCTGCCTGAACACCTGAACTGATTTCTTGATGGACTGCGTTCTGGCACTCGGTTAAATGCAAATGTTCTTAAGCTTAGCAGTCAGTAATAGTTAGGAAAGGAAAAGAGCGTTCAAGGAATAGGTATTTTACTTGAGGTATTTTACATCAAATTTTGTCCTGTTAAAGTGCCCTATGCCACAGGAAATAACGTCCATGAAATAAAGTATAAGCCAGTTTTTCCAGAGCAGGTTTTCCCCCTTCTCATTTTAGCTTCCCTTTCCATCTTTATGAGCCTAGACATGCTTCTAAGCACCCGCTTTTGTCTGTAGTAAACAAGTATCTCATTTAACATATCTAATAAAAAAAAAAAAGGAAACTGAACATTCAGTGAATGAAAACAAAAAAAGCCTTTTTTTTTTTTTTTTAAAGGAATTTGAAATAATTT